ATTGTAATTCCATTGGTAGAACCGTTACAAAACAATTGAATTCGACTATTATATCGATCAGCTACATATAAATTTCCATATTGATCAAGGCGTAGACCAGTTGGACCATTTAACTGATTTGCTTGTGCTCCAGATGTGCCTGCTGTACCGGCAATAAATTCTCCTGTTACATTGCCTGAATTAAATTTAATTACTACATGTTTACTTTGATCTGATACATATAGTTGATTTGACAATGAATCAAAGTAAACTCCATATGGAAATGCCATCTGACCACCACCTCCAGTTTGACCAGCAACAATCTGACTAGTGGCCCCATTAATTAAATATTGACGAACAACAGTATTGGTCGCATCTGTCACGTACAAATATGTGACCGATTGATCTGACCAAATAAATCGAAGATTAGACGCTGTTGTAAATGTGGTACCGCTTGACGCTGCGCTATCCCATTTCTGAACTCGATTGTTACCATAGTCGGATATATAAATTGTTTCATTTGTTGTTACATACATATTTAGCGGTCGGTACAAAGATGATTGACTAGAACCACTAATAGCACTAGAACTACCAGCCACAGTGGTACAACTCGATGAACCTTGATAACATCGTTGTACTCGGTGATTAGCATATTCTGCTATATATAATGTGGAAGTAGAAGTTAAGAAAAGTCCAACTGGTTCGTTTAATTGACTGGGACCATTACCTTGACCGCCTTGACCAGCTACAATGGTACCAGTTGTGTTCCATAAAACTAATGCTAGGAAAATGAAGGTGAAAAAACATGCATAAGAAGTTGAAAAGTAAAGAAAGAGGCCGGACAGAACCGTCGACTAATATATCACACGAAATATTTTGTCAGTATACTTTGTTTCATCAAACGATAGATTTATAGGTCATTACAAGGATTATGAAAATTCTTTGCTTCAAAACTTGTGTGTTATCGATCAAATACGTTTCCTTAAGTCGTATTCGCGTTAGAGCCCTGTAGGTTACGACTTTTTGGCAACCTA